AAAAAAAACTTTAAACAAAAAAACTAAACTAAAAAGAACTAACCTAAATTTAAAAAAAACTAAAAAGGACTAAACTAAAAAAATAAAAATAAAGTATACTTCCTGTTTAGTTTTTAGGTACTTATCTCAGATAAACTTAACCAGGTTCATCTTACACTACACTTGGCTTATACTAAAAATATACTAAATGTCTAAGTATTCTTAGTCTATACCAGAGGAGCCCAAAGTGGGGCCCGCGGGCCATATTTGACCCGCCAAGCCATTTGGTTTGGCCCATCAACAGTTGCCAAAGTTACAAGGTTGTAACCTGTTATCCTATGTAGAAACACACTATTTCCATTGGTCTAATGACTATATAAAAGGGCTGTAGTGAAGGTAGTTTTCATTCATGGTGCTCACTTTATCTTTGATTTATTACGGTTAAACATGAACATGAAATGACAAGAAATATTTAGATCAGATTTAACCACACGTATAGATTTGCAAATCTATATGCACACTTTATAAGGCCACAAAAACTCAGATTTGATCAATTTATGAAATGTCCCACGAGCCTTTGCTACTTGAGCGTGTGGCAGACTTTCTCCAAGTGCACAGACTAAAACTAAAGAGGGCCATTGCATAGGTTAATCATTTAAAAATAGAGGACTTTACTTAAAAAAGTACTTGTATTTCATGTATTTTGTTATGCATTTGGCCCGCAGCCCTGAATAGATTTTCATTTTGGCCCTCTCGGGGAAAATGTTTGGGCACCCCGGTATACGTATGTTTAAACTTTTGGCCAAGATAAACTTAAGTAGAAGTAGTACACTGAAAGTACATTTTCACACAGACTGGTTTATTTGTAGTATATTTTTAGATGTACTATTTTTAAATTCTTCCTTGTCAGTTTTTGGAACAAATTCAACAATGAATGAATGAATTATACTTTATTGATCCTATGAAGGAAGGGAAATTACAGTATGAAAATGATAATGAAAACAAGCGAGCTGCTGCAAAGAAAGACTATGGACATTTGAACAATTTAACAATTTTACACAATAGATCTGTTTAAGTGGACTGTTCTACGCACTGCAAGCCAGGGTCAAAGTGAGTTTTAATTTGAGTGGTCAAATAAAATACCTGAATCTATTTTTGTCACATTTTTCCAATATTATTCACTCAGCATTGAAAGTAGAGTAGAAGTATAACTATAAGGTTATTTGGAGCGAACAGGAAGAAAACATAGGGTGGCACTTGTGGCTCATTGGTAGAGCTGTTCTCTCTCAGCAAGAAAGTTGCTGGATCTAATCCCGGTTCTGGATTTTTTTTTTCTTCTCTGCATGCGTGGGTTTTTGCAGGAACTCCTGCTTCCTCCCACAGACCAAAAACATGACTGTTAGGTTAACTGGTAACTCTACAATGTCCCTAGGTTAGAGCGAATTGTTGTCTGTCTTGTTTGTCTCTATATGTGTCTCTGTGACCGTCATAATGGGAAGTTATAAAAGCAGCACAGGACTTGAGAGCAGACACCAAGAATGAGCCTTCAGACACAAAATCAAAAGGAACTGGTTTATTTACAGGGGAGGGGGGGAGGGTTCTGGATCTCGTTCCAGTCTGTCTTTGTAAGTTAGGAGGAGGCAGGAGATTCCAAACCATGCAAGCAGCAGAAGGGGCAGGCGAGGTGGCAGAGAGCGAGCAGGCAGGCTGGAGCACTCAAGTCCTTATTTTCCATGAGGTGAGTGTGGATCAGAGGAAGGTGACGTCCAACACAGAACTGACTGGCATCAGTGTGACGCACCAGGGCAAAAGGAACCACTACATATGCCAAATGAGGACAATCAGACCACTGCTTGGTGCTGAAGCAGCTCTGCCTTTATGCCCTGGTGGTGATTAGGCCCAATAGACTCCACCTGTGAGGAGCTGCACTGTCTCCTATGGTAACCATCTACAACCATGGATCTAAAACATCAATGGCTGAACTGCAGAGCTCCTTCAGTGACAGACTGCTGCATCCTAAATGCACAAAAGAACATTACCGCCGAGCCTTCCTCCCATCAGCTGTTAAGACTTTACAACCATCACTGCTCCCAACAATCTCAATAAGCATCCGTGTTTGTGTTTGCACATCAAACAACTCTACCTCTCAATCAATACACAAATAATAACCTGTGACACCTTTTTACCTGTACTGGAATATTAACTTAATGACTGAGTTCAACTCAATTCACACACACCCTTGGATCACGAGTCTGTCATGACTGTTTTTCTGTATTTTTCTGCACAGTATCTTGCTTTTATTTTCATGTTATAGTGAGGAAAATTGTTGAATTGAGTGAAAAAACTTATTGATTGATTGATTGATTGATTGATTGATTGATTGATTGATTGATTTTCATCTTAACAGTCGGGGACAGTTATTTTTATTTTATTCTATGTTTATTTTATTGTTACTATCTTTAATTCTATCATTATTGCTACAGTTGATATTGTCACATAGCTATATAATGTTTTTGTGGATTGATGTATGTATCTGTTGCTGCTATTACACCTGAATTTCCCCATGTGGGACAACAAAGGCTGTTTCTATTCTATTCTATAATAGATGGAAAATGTATTTTTATACACTAAAAAGTGAACTAGAAATGCATTTTTAGTGAAATAGCAGCAAATGTATACACTTAAAGTATTCTTTCATACACTTTAAAGTGTACTTTTTATAAACTAATAAAATGGCATTAGAGGTTTACTGCTCGTAAACTAATAGTATACCTAGATGGTTACTTTCAATATACTTCTGAGGATACTTACATAAACTTAAAGTGGGCCAATTTAGACCTAAGAAGTTTACTTGTTAGAAAACTGTTAGTATACTTATATCAGTGTACTTAGTAAAGAAAAGTACACTTAATGAAAAACACTTTTGTATACTTCAAAATACTTGCTGACATGTACTTAAAGTATACTTCTTTTTGATAATGGCTGGAATGAAGTCTGTTTTTAATAAAGCTTTTTGAAAAGAAGCAACTTGTTTTCTGCAAACTTATTTCGGCTTCCAATTCTGATCATGCTTTTCTTACATTGGAAAGAAAACAGTTTGTCAATCAATAATCTTTTGTTTTTCTCTGTTGGAGACGCAGCTGAGATCTAAACTAAAAATATTTTCTGAAAATAAAAACTGATGAACACAAGAGGGAGCCTTCATCCTCCTAACAGAGATGAAAAGCAGGTTAAAACACTGCAGGTCACCTGACTTTGGATCTTTATCTGATGTTGATATAAAATAATGTCACTGAATCAAATCTGTAAAATAGTTTAAGTTACAATAAAGATAAACCCTGAATGATCTGATGTGTTCATGTTCTCTGAGAATCAGGAGTTTCTTTCAGTTTGATCAGGAAGTTGTAACATGATGATGAGTTGGAGCCAGGGGTGTCACTAGGTTTTAAGGACAAGGGGGGCTTAGCCCCCAGGAGACGCACAGAATTTTTGTATATTATTTGTATTGTGTGTGTGCGCGTGTGTGCACGTGTGTGTGTGTGTGTGTATATATATATATATATATAGTGTTTCCAGCAAAAATAAGTGTGTAAAACAGTTTAGTTTTCAGCAAGTTGTGATTGATTAAACAGGCTGATACTTCATTGAGCAAATGTTTTTTCCAAGATGGCGGCCCCGCGGCTCGACAGCAGCATTAGCAGTCCGTCTATCTACTCCTTATGTTTATGGTTACTACCAGCAGTGATGATTAATACTTACTTTCTTGAAAAACTTTTGTACATCCACTTTTCACTGAGCATTGCTGCACATACTGCACTTAGCTGCTCTGTGTGTAAACTTGCTAAGGTTGCAGGAAAACATGGACTGGATTTTATGTGGTGGGAGGAGTACTCTATGAACAAGTGGAATGGATTGAATAATGATGCACTAAAGAGGATTTCTACCTTACACTATAAATTAAAGGGAGACTGACAGATTTATGATCATATATTTTAGTTAATAATGAAATATTAAATGGTTATTTAATCTGACCACATCATATTGAATTTTTGAAAAAAAAAATTTTAACACCAAAATAATTTAGGGGGGGCTTTAAAATATTTTAGGAGGGCTCCAGCCTCCCTAAAATAGGCCTAGTGACGCCACTGGTTGGAGCTGAAATCAAGTTGAATTAGTTTCATGTCAGATTACCTGTTAGATTTGCTCATTCAGGTGAGAGAAGGTTTGGAAAAAAATACATCTTATGAATCAACTGTAATCCCTCCTCCTCCTTCCTGCTCTCAAACAGCAGCGTCACACTACCCACATATTTACTTAAACCCTCCCTGTCAGATCAACCGTAKAAGTTCTGACACGCCTCATTCTCTGCACAAACTTGAAGTGTGTAAGAACACAAACAGGTTTTAGTCATCCGAATGTGAAGCTTTCAAAGAAGCTGAGGTAAAATGGAGCAGAAAGAACATCAGATGTACAGAGAAGGATTTTCTTGTTCCATCTGTCTGGATCTAMTGAAGGATCCGGTGACTATTCCCTGTGGACACAGCTACTGCATGAAGTGTATTGAAGACTTCTGGGATGAAGAGAAAAGGATCCACAGYTGCCCTCAGTGCAGGAAAACCTTCACACCAAGACCTGATCTGGTAAAAAACATCTGCTCTCGTCACGACGAGGTGATGAAGATGTTCTGTCGCACCGATCAGCAGAGCATCTGTTATGTCTGCACGGTGGACGGACATAAAGACCACCACATCGTCTCAGCTGCAGCAGAAAGGAGCCAGAAGCAGGAGCAGCTCCAGGTGAGGAGAGCAAACATCCAGCAGAGAATCCAGGGCAGAGAGACAGAYGTGAAGCTGCTTCAACAGCAGCTGGAGGACATCAACACATCTGCTGATAAAACAGTGGAGGACAGTGAGGAGATCTTCACTCAGCTGATCCGGCTGCTCCAGGAGAGAAGCTCTGAAGTCAAGCAGCAGATCAGATCCCAGCAGGAAACTGAGGCCCGTGGAGTCAGAGAGCTTCAGGAGAAGCTGGAGCAGGAGCTGACTGAGCTGAAGAGGAAAGATGCTGAGCTGAAGCAGCTCTCAGACACAGAGGATCACAACCAGTTTCTCCACAACTACCCCTCAGTGTCAGAACTCAGTGAGTCTCCACACTCATCCAGCATCAATGTTGCTCCTCTCAGATACTTTGAAGATGTGACAGCAGCTGTGGAGGAGCTCAGAGACAAACTACAGGACATTCTGAGAGACATGTGGACAAACGTCTCACTGAGAGGGGCTGAATGGTTACTGCCAGAACCAGAACCAAGGAGCAGAGCTGACTTCTTGAAATATTCCTGTGAAATCACTCTGGATCCAAACACAGCACACAGAAAGCTGTTAATACTTAAAGGGAACAGAAAAGTAACATTAATGAGTCAAAACCAGTTTTATTCTGATCATCCAGAGAGATTCACTAAGTATTGTCAGATTCTCAGCAAGGAGAGTCTGACTGGACGCTGTTACTGGGAGGTGAAGTGGGGAGGAACGTGTGTTTCTGTAGCCATCGCCTACAAAGATGTTGATAAAACACAGAGTGAATTTGGATTCAATGATAAATCCTGGGCTTTATTCTGTTACAAAAAAAATAATCTGTTTCTGTACAACAAAAGCAGAACTCCCATCTCAGGTCGTGAGATCTCCAGAGTTGGAGTGTACCTGGATCACACAGCAGGTATTCTGTCCTTCTACAGCATCTCTGAGACCATGACCCTCCTCCACAGAGTCCAGACCACCTTTACTCAACCTCTACATGCTGGATTATATCTGTGGTTTACTGGAAACATAGCTAAGTTCTGTAAATTAAAAAATAAAATAAAATCTGTTTTTGATCCTTACTAATCTCTCCTTGTGTTGTCTTCACTGCTCATCAAGATGTTAAACTGTGTTGAGATTWTTGTCTCATAATGTGTTTCACAAAGGTTGTCGACGCTTGAGCAGAATTAAAAATAAAATATGAAGCAATCCTAAAAATGCAGAAGAAGAAGCAGAACAGGTTCATTGAGCTTTTCTATAGAAYGTTGTCTTCTTCCATGAAACTCTCCAGTTGGTTCAGTTTTTATCTCGCAAAAAGAACTGATTTTTGTTTAAAACTTTCGTCTTTTTTCACTTTTTTTCAACATTTTTAACATCTCAACAGATGAGATGTGATRTTTTGTCACAGAAACAAATTGAAATGTGATCAGAAAACATCATAAACTCTATTAAGGATTTTCACTTTGTTTTCCCTGATGAGTAAAAACCAATAAATTATTAAACGACATAACGTATTTCATTATTTAATAAACTATATTTAATTAAAACAAATAAAAAATATTTCTGCTCAAATGATTTCTCCTGAAACCCTGAAGCCTCTTCTTTTTTCTCACTGTAACTTTGAGAGTTTTCTCCTCTAACTTCTTTTGATCACTTGAACGCAGCATCAAGTTGTGATTCATGAAAACACTGATTTTTAAAKCTCTTTAACTTGATTAAAAAGTGGAAATTGGTGCAACCAAAAGAGGGCACTGCCATCCATTAAAACAGGAAGGAAGAGGCTAAAAACACTCTTCAGCCTTTAATTGGGATTAGAAATACTGAGTTATTATAATATATAAATAGTGTTGTCAGTGTGAAATCAAAGGAGAGCTGGTTCAGGTCAACAGCACCTCACCTCCACACAGAGTTGATAAAGTGCTGTTTTTTCTCGCCTCATGTCTAAATGTTGAACAGAATCGTCTTGGAGCTGGTTAAAAGCTTTCATTCCACAGATCTGTGGTTTTTCATGTGACTAACATTTTGTCTGGCCTGTCAYCTTGGACCAATCTGCAGGGAGATTACCCCAAATATTATATTGTAGCTTCAAGTATGTGGCTGGATACAAATGCATCATTTTTTAGGGTTAGGAGAGCCTGCAGCCACTATTTACCTCTGTCCATGTTTTGTCCTTGTCATTAGATTGTCTCTGATGTTCTGTTGTGATTCTTTCCAGTCTAGTCATGTCCTAGTTGTCCTTGGTTCTGGCTCTACATTCACTCATTCACCTGCTTCCTGTTAGTTAGCTCTCCTGTATTTACTAAACAGTTCTGAGTAGAAATAAAACCATGTTGGTTATTATCAGTGTGTTTGTCAGCTGGTCATGGGCCGGCAGGAAGGTGAACCCATAAGAAGTAAAACCGGTTGAAGACACAATTCTGCTGTGATACTTCCTCGTCCTTCTTCCTGAGCTCAAATAGCAGCTTCAGTCTGTTCACAGACTCTCTTGTTTCCTCTCCATCAGATCTACATTAGAAGTTTTGACACGCCTCATTCTCTGCACAAACACACAGTGCATAGATCTAAACATGGGCTGGTTTCCATTCACAGGAAGTGAAGCTTTCATTAATGCTGAGAGGTAAAATGTGCAGAAAGGAGAATGTTTTTCTTATTGCATCTGTCTGGATCTATTAACGACTCCGGTGACTATTCCCTGTGGACACAGCTACTGCATGAAGTGTATTGAAGACTTCTGGGATACAGGGAATAGGATCCACAGCTGCCCTCAGTGCAGGAAAACCTTCACACCAAGACCTGATCTGGTAAAAAAAAAMCCTCATGTTTGCAGCTTTAGTTGATCAGCTGAAGACGAGTGGACTCCAAGCTGCTCCTGCTGATCACAGCTATGCTGGAGCTGAAGATGTGGCCTGTGATGTCTGCACTGGAAGAAAACTCAAAGCCATAAAGTCCTGTTTGACGTGTTTGGTGTSTTACTGTGAGAAACACCTCCAGCCTCATTATGATGTAGCTCAGTTGAAGAAACATCAGCTGCTGCAGCCCTCCAACAAGCTCCACGACAACATCTGCTCTCGTCACGACGAGATTTGTATCTGGGATGGTGCTGGAAAATCAGCTGAGATCTGTGAATTGAAATACAGTATAYACTTTTTCTTTTTGTTTGTCGCTGCTCTGAGTTTAAAGCTTTAAATTGTTTTAGTTTGCAGGGTGTATTTGTGTCGTTATGCCTTTATATTGAAATGCTTACATAAATGATTTTTACTGGTTTATTTACACAACAGCCATAACTCCACCATTTTAACTTTAACAATAATTTGCTTCATGGAATAATAAAGATCATATATTTGCCCGTTAATGTAAACTCAGGCACTATTTACAGTCTTTGTTTCTCCATGGTGTTAAAGTCAGCAGGAGCACCACCTCCTGACGGGGGCCTCCTCCAACTCATGGCTGGCAGTGGGGCTCCCGTTCGGCTCGGAGACTTGCGCCCCGTATGCGCTCCTCTCCATCCTCTTCATCACCAAGTTCAGTAAGGTGGTCACTGATGCATCCACGTCGACCCCCGTCACAGCACTCGTCTCGAAGTAAGGGATCCTGARGAATGTTTTAGTATTTAGACACACTTAGAAAACTGTCTTCAGATTTGTGTTGAAGATCAGCTAAAACTCTAAAAATTATTGCCTTTTTTTGTCAACCTGTAACTGTTTTATTTTACCTCTGTTAGATGTGTTTTGTACTGTTTTTTATTAAATTCATTTAAAAGATCTGAAGGGGGTTAAACAGATCTGTTTCAATAAGTGTGTTTCATTTTAAAAAATATACAATTGATTTGTCATTAAAGGTACACCATCCTACAATTATCTAAAATTATTAAACTTTTTAAAATAGTTTCCACTCACCCGTATCTATCAGCCAGGTCTCTGGCCTGTTTGACGTGAACGTCCCTCATGTCTTTCAGGTCGGCCTTGGTGCCCACCAGAACCACATCTGGGTTATCGCAGTAGGCGTTGGCCTGTAGCTGACCTGATCAGATGCAAAAAAAAAAAAAAAAGATAATTTTTACCGGGCAAACACGAAACCTGAAACTCTGAACCAATCGAGCTTGTCACTGATGAAYGAGAAGAGAAGACTCGTACTCATCCAGTTCCTGACGTTGAGGAAACTCTGCTGATTGGTCAGGTCAAACATCAACAGGAAGCCCATCGCATCTCGGAAGAAAGCTGTGGTGAGGCTGCGGAACCTGAAGTAGCAGAACGTCGTTATAATTAAACCATTGAGCACCCAGAACCATGTTGGGTTTGCTCCCTGCCTATTTATTCATCGAATCATTTACTTTTGTAAAATGATTCAGGATATTTTGGGGTTAAAATACACTGTAATGCCTTTCCTGTGATTTCCTTAACTTTCCTGTTTCTTCTGTATTTCTGCACCTTTTCTGTTCCATGTCAGTTCAGCAATCAGGAATATGATTACTATTTTTCTGAGTTTTTTCCAACAGTAACAAATACTTTCCATTTTTAAGATTATACGACATACGTACGTTTCTCAATTTTCCAATTATGTATTTACCAGGTGAATTACAATTTGGCTAGGAAAAATTACAACACGATTAAAAAAAAAAATAATACAGCCACTATGTGACAAGAGCAGACTAAAACCCTGCAGGCTATTTTCAGGGATTAGGCTTATATGACATGGTAAATTTTAAAATCAGATCAGAGCAAATTATGTCTTTTTTTTGGGGGGGGGG